GGTTCAAACGAGGAACGTGTTCAGTTTTGGAGGGAGAGGAGCCTGGGAGTGGAAGGAGAAGGTGGAGGGGGGGAGTTAATGGAAAAGTACAGTAAAGCACCTTCTGAGGTGAGAATAAGTAGTGAAGGTCTATTAGCAGTTGACGACAATTTACATGTATTACTTATGTAAAGATCAGATCGCAGCAGGTAGAGGAGCGTGCTCCCATGTGAGCTGTCAAAGGCTCCTTCTGCCTCCTGAGTGGGAGGGAGCATGGGAGTCGCTGAGGCTGAGGTTTTTTTCAGTCCACAAAGGAACGAATAGTCTGAAGAAGAATGGCAAATTGCTTCGGGTGGAAAAGGGGTGACTGACACGGGCTGAAAATGCCCAAATGCAGGAAGTGTTGGTAAAATGACCAGGCAGTGAGCAGGTGATGTGTGGTTTTATGCTGGATCTGGAGACTTGCAGGTGTGCAGGGGATGTCCGTGGATTAGGAGCCCAGCAGTGGCCTCACACCATTCCCACCTACAATGCCGGAAAGGATCGCTATGGGCAAACATCACCTTCTGCATCCTGGCTGGCAAAGTATATTCTGAACTTTGAAAAAGTGCCCTTTTCAGTTATGCTCTCTCATTTTGTAAGATGATAGCAGAAAGTGGGAGACGCTCTGAGGGGTTTGGCCTGCTAAAGGGGCTGGAAGGAGTGGATGACTCGGGGCCCTGCCTCAGGTTGCTCCATCCTGGGGGAAGCTGCCGTGGACTCCTCTGTGCAATATGTGCCTGAGCTGGAAGTAGCTCAGGAGCTGGTGGAGACAAGCTGTCTAGTACGTGGAAATGCAAGTGTTTGCTGTTCTGGATGGAAAAATAAATCCTGAACTGGCAGGAGATGCTGATGAATGCATTGCCCAGAGTTTTCAAATGCAGGAGCTGGGTTTGCTGAGGAGGAAGGGAGCTTCTCCTGAGTAGGATGTGGAGTCTTGCGGCTCTGTTGGTGACAGACACTGCCTGCCTGCCTGGCTAACAGCGGTGCTTGCTGGGTCAGCATCTCTTTTGCCTTTTCAACATCCCTTTGGGTAAGACCCTTCTTGCTTTGCTGCCAGAGATCAGAACATCCCTGGGCTGGGACAAGCCTTGCAGACACCCAAGAGCATGGCTTTGCAGTGTGTTTGGAGAGGCTGAGGCAAATGCGGCGCCGTTGCTCGAGCAGACTCCATCCATGCCTTGGACCCTGTGGTGTGGTTGAACCCAGCACGCTGCATAGGTGGGTCCCCTCAGCATAGGCTGACTTACTACCTGGTGAATTCTGGTTCATGTTATAGATCTGCTCTGCCACACTCTTGACAGGAAGAAGGTACAAGACAAACAAGAGAAGTAAATAACCTTGTCCACTGCCCCGGCAGTGTGGCGAGCGTGCCAGCCAGTGCTCAGGGTGGAAGCAAATTTGTTTGACCGTGTTTACCTGGAGGGAGTGGGAAGATGGGGAGTGGAAAATCCCCAAATACAAGGCCAAAGGGAAGGTTTCAGAATAGGGGTTAAGGAAGAGGAAGAAAAGCACAGACTTTAGGGGCTAGAAGGGACTTTTTCCCCTCCATCCCAGACAGCCAAGATCAAAAGGAAGGGAGCAGGGTCTGTGTTACAGTCAATTTAAGGATACAGTTTCTTGAGAGGGGTTCAGGGAGAGGAAGGAATGCCAAGCTGATAAATAACTTCCCTTTTTTTCCCCTAGTTCTGTTCATCTCCTGTGTTGCTGAAATAATTTGCAGAATCTGTCTTTAGTTTCAACTATTGCATGTGTCAGGTAGCGTGGGAACTGCTGCCTACAGGGTGAAGCCTCTCGAAGACGTAACTGGTGCCTTGGAGGAGCAGGTGTAGGTGATTTGGTGGGGGGGCTTGAGAAGTGGGTGCTGCCTAAGGGATGTGCCCTTCAAAGGGTCTCCAAAAGATGCTGGAGATAAGTGGAGAAAGGAGCACGGCGTGGTGCGAGGCAGCAGCTCAGCTTGGGTAGTGTCCAGGAGAGGGAGCCGGATCCGGGACAGAGCAGCACGTCTAGGAAATGCTGCACACGTGTGAGCAATGAACAGTGCTGGCGATGGCTTGGGAGGGTGATGGATCGAAACCTAAGTGGAACAGTCAGGATTGTTTCAGGTTAGATGAGTTCTTCATAAATTAGGGCTGTTTGCCGGTGAGATTTAGTTGTGAAATGGTAACGTGCAAAATAGCAGCAGTGCAGTGTGTTGGGAGAAATCAGTGTTCTGGGAGAAAACCACTTTGGAGCCCATCTTTAGTTGTGCAGTTCATGCCAAACTATAATGCAGTGTGCTGCTTTCAAACTTAAAAAGGCTGTACGATATTTTGTACATACAATGTGTACTTTTCTGCAATAGCTATAGTTTGTTTTTCCTAATTTACCCTTTCCTTGTTTATCTTGAATACTGTGCAGGGGTCTAATTTAGATTTTTTTTAGAAAAAAAAACCTGCTTAGCAGTTATGGGTTGGGGCAGCAATTTCTGTAGCATTTAGAGGTGAATTTGATTATCACTTTTGGAAAACTGCAGCAAACTGCAGTGCTAATCAAGGGAAATCAAGCCATGGAGCTTTAAGGCAGAGTTGGTTTTTATTTTTTTAAACACCAAAAGTGAAGATATTAAGCTGTCTGAGGCTCAGAAGCATTATACTTCTGCTGGTTTCACATGTCAGGCTTTCTGATGCCGAACAGAGTGTTGGTAGAAAAATATGAATTTTCTAAAATATAAACCACTTAATTTGCAGTCCAAAACTGATTATTCAGTGTTGCGATCAGTTTTTCTCTTATCCCTCCCTGTCCATAATTGAATAAAATATTCTGTGTGTCTTTTATTTGTTAGTAAAATCCTTTGCTGTGTATAAAAGACAGACAGAAGGAGACACAACCAATTAAACCCCCAACTTTATTGTGTTAGCGCTGTGATTCAGGATCTGCTGAAATCAGTGGAAACCCTCCCAGTGACCTCAGATACGCATTGGATTGTGAGTTTTAGCGGTTTTTCAAATGAGAACAAAATGCACAACGTGTGTAAAAAAAGGTGGAGTAAGCGTTAAGTGGATTAACCAAAATCCACTGGAGACCTTTGTACGTGTCTGGGGGGAATGGGACATTTATTTTTATTCCCTGGGGCTGCAGACTTTGGTTGCTAATCAAACTTCAAAGAAACGGGAATCCAGGCCTGAACTCGGGATATAGTTTCACATAGACTTTCCCCCAGTGTTCCCACTGAGAGACACCAACCAGATGAACACCAGAATTTGTGTTTGCAGAATGACAGTATTCAGATAAGGAAGGAAACAGATTTGATCATTAACTAAGGAGGACTGGGGGGAAACAAATCGGCCTTTTGCGAGTCCTCTGGTATTGCTGCATGTGACGTGGCTGGTGTTTGGATAATGTTTGAAAGATGGGTAGGTTAGCTGCTGGGAGCAAAATGTATGGAGCCTAATCAGGAAATGTTGGCCTTCATAATTTTTTTTTCTGAGAAATGGAGATCACTGCAGTTACGAACTGCAAATTGGTAACTGGAGGAGATTCCTAAAATATGAGATAATCCCTAGAAGCTGACCAGATTTCTCTGTAGAACATCAAATTCTAGGTCTATAATCTGTAATTAAATTGCTTATGTGCTGTTAAAAAAAGCATCTGGCTGTTCTAAGATTGTTCAGTGCAAGAGCATAGACACTATAAATGAGAGAGCTATAGTGACATGTATAAAGTAGCAATTTAGAGGACAGGAAAATATTAAGATTTTTTATTTCCAACCTACCAGGATGTGAGAGAATCCAGAAGGTCAGTCCATAGTATGACTACTGTATTCTGCAATTGCAGTGTATACCCATTAACCATTATGGTGCCAAAAGAACTGAGGTGTCCTTTGGACACTTCTTGAACAGTATGAGTTTAAGCTGTCTCATTAACAGTATTTTGAAATATTAAGTGTTTTCAATATAAGGAAATAATCCAGTATTTGATAGATGCACAGAATGTGTTATGTAAAAATGGAGATAAGCTTTGGCGTTATAGGACAACATAACCTCACAGGCAACAATCTGCTTTCAGTCTGCTCTGGGTTATTTGAACTGGGAGCATAGACATTGTAAATCGCCATCCACAACAAAGCCCATGCTGGAGCTGTTGTCTCTTTACACTGCAAAATGTTTTGTGAAGCTGAAATAGGAGGGGTCAGAAAGTACAGCTGTGTCTTTGCTGCTGCTGAGCCGAAGGGAGTTGTGGGTGCTCTTGTGGCTGCTTCTGCCATGCTCCCTGGTATCTGTGCGTGAGCCGAGGGTTTGTCGGTGTCTCCTTTCCGAACACTTTTTGTAGAAAGGAAATTCTGTCTCAGAGTCATGAAATTAACGCATTACTCTCACTCTGCAGTGCAATTAAGCTGTTTACCTCATCTGCATGGGGAAATGAATAGCGTATGCGACTAACCTAGGGTCACGCAGAGTCTAACAGAGCTGGGCTGAGCCTCCTGTTTCTGTGCTGGGTCAGGTCGCTCACTTACAGGGAGCTTTTCCCAGAAGCGCATTGTTGAGTTTGCCTGAAGCAAGTGGCGTGTCCCTTACAGCTGTTGAGGAGAAAATTATCTCAAAACAGACTCTGTGCCATTTCCTGGTGTGAAGGCACAGACAGTATTTATAGAATTCCTCTGCCTTCTGCATTGTGGTTAATAGAAATGACTGTGTTGTATTTTAATGGAGATGAGGACATGTGAATCAATTCCTTCCTGAGGCATGAATATACTTCTGTAATTTTGGACTCAGCCTGGATGATTTCTAATACTGTTTTTCCCCCTCCTTGTTTTCCTCTAGTCGTGGCCTTCCTGGTGGCATATCATCAAAATAAGCAGCTGATAGGAGAGAAGGGGCTGCTCCCTTGTAAACTGTACCTGCAGAATGTCAAAAAGTATTTCAAAGGGAAGATCAACCTGGATGCTCTGAGCTACGCACCGACAATCATCTGGTTTCTGGATTGGTCAGACATGGACAGCACCTTGGACCACCTCTCCCTGTTTGGCCTGGCCACTTCAGCCTTTGTGTTGGTAACTGGATGTGCAAATATGGTCCTCATGGCTGTCCTGTGGGTTCTCTACCTCTCGTTGGTCAATGTTGGACAGATCTGGTAGGTTAACAGTCTCTCTGCTTTGTTTTTCCTTGTAATATCTTGCTGTTTGTTGTACACGTTGACTTTGTGTTACCTTTTGAGGTTGGTAATCTGACAAGGAGCGGTGTAGTTATGTGAGATAAGGAAAGCATTTGGCAGAAATGGGTTATGGGCATGCCCCTGCTCTTACTTAGGATATCTGCCCTGATTTCTCTTGGCCTCTGAGAGAGGCAAATTGGCTGCATAATGTGCCATGCTACACGTTGTCCCTGCAGTGGAGTACTTTTCCTCATGGCTGTTGCGAGGGTATTCACTCAATAATTACCTTGGAGATGGCTTCTTAATTTTCAGTTCAATCCAAAAGAGCTGGGACACTCATGATGAGTGCATAAAGCCTCTGAGGGAAAAAGTAAAGGAGAAACAGTGACTGTGTATCGCCTTGCTGCAGGGAAAGGCTGTGATGCAAAAGGAAAGGCTCTAGGTGGTCCTCACACTTGTTAAGGCCCCAGATACATTGGTTAAAAGAGGGCGGGCCCTTAGAACCCCAAATTTCATTAGTTCACCTCTTCACGTACCTCTCTGCCTGTAACAGAGGTGATGTGGCAACTTCAGGGAAGTGAAAGGCCATGAAGAGGTGCCCAGGCTGTGGGCACGATACAGCTGTATCACTGGGATGTTCTTCCCAAATCTTCTGGCTCTATAACACATGATGGGACACCTTCCCTATAGATGGGCTCAGTGAATTTAAATTTAAGGATCTGCTTATGCTTGGGCAGGCCTGCATCTTGTCCTGTCCCATTCATTCCTATCCTACTCCAGATGGTATGTAAGTGGGTGAAGGATAACAGCTTCAGTTTTCTGAAGAGCTCTGTTCTCTGAGCTCTTAACTCAGCATGAATTTAAGACTGTGAAAGCGAGCCACAAAATTTGAAAAATAACTTGGTGGATAGTTTTCCATTGCCCATTTCCAAGTTATTCCAAAATTGCTCGTCTATTTTTCTAGATGTTTTATGTTACAGGGCAAGAATTCAAGCATCGTCCTGCTCTCATTACCAGAGATACAGGAGCCTGTGTCATTGTAGCAGCAAAATCTGGATGTGTTCCTTGACTTCCTTCTCTTTGAGTTTCTGGTTGTGGGGGTGGAAAAAGCCCTAACGACCTCCCTCTTCAGCTGCAAAGTTTTTCTAGCTGAAAGCTGGATCTGCAGTGACTCCTGAGACTGAAGGTTTGATCTGGCTTGCTTCTGAAATAGTGGGGTAACTAGATACCAGCATGACAGGCTTTCTTCGTTAGTGCCCACGAGGCATTCTGGGGTGCTCAGTGTACTGGTGCTGTGGCTATAGTGGTGCTATGATATCGTTACAGTTTTGATTTTTAAAAAAGCTAGCTGGAATGTGTTCTCCGTGTCTCGTTGGGCAGTTGTGTTCTGTGCTGGTCCTCTGCTCCAGCTGCTTTTCCTGGTACAAGCAGGCTTGTGGTGTCTTCTCTGCTGGTGCTGGAGAGGTGATAGCATTCTCGAGTTTTTGCCAAAATAAATCCAGTTGTGCTGTTGAATGTGTGGCTGTTTTGTCATCTTTCAAGTCTTTAAGGGAGAGGCAAAGGGCCAGGGATAGAGAAGGCAGCCTTCCTCCACTGCTGCACCAAACCACCAACAGCGTCCAGCAGACTTTGTCCAAATGCCTCTTCCTGAGGGGGTTGGAAGCTCACGGCCAAGCGTCAGGTCTCTGCAGCTCTGAAGACAATGAGCTGGCCAGCAGGAATGCAAGCGGAGCCCGGAGTTTGCTTCTTGTGGATGCTGTGGTTGAAAGGAATTGACTCTTGATATTTGAGATAAAGCTGTATTTTTTCCTCCTTTGATACTTCAGAGTTGGAGGTTCAAAGTTACCCAGGCCCAGGCAGGTGACTTCTGGTTATACAGCAATAATATACCAAGGGAATGGGTCAAGTTCTTCTGGGAAAGGGTTGAGAGAGAAAAGACGGCGGGGGGGCAATAGAAGGCATTGCCTCAACTTCATCTCTTCTTAATTATGTCTTCGAATATATATTAAACAGGAAATTAGGTTCTTGTAAAAGGGTGAGGGGAAAGAATCAAAGCAACCCAGCAGTACAGTTCATTCAGCTGTGGTTACATTTTTCATTAGATCCTCTGAAATGGGTCACTGGGTTGTCAAAACCATATTATTATTGTGCATGCAGTGTGACGTTCAATTCCCTGGAGAAGGGGATGCTGGGTGGCTCGGTAGTTACAGTGCAAGTAAGTGTGGGGAAAGAGCAAAGAAGGAATTAACTAATTTCTCACCGTCCTTCAGGGAATTTCGGTGGCACAAGGGATGAGCTGAGAGTACCTGAGATCTCATGAATTCTGCTGCTGATCGTGGGTGGGTGGGTGGAAGCGTTAGCCTTGGAATTAAGGCTGGCTTTAAAACTCCCTTTTCACACTGGTTTGTAGATGGGGTTAGGTGGTCCTGTTAACTTTGTCTTACTCTCAGATTTGGGCAGATTGAGAGGTTCAGATGAGTTCTTACTGTGCTCCAAAGCATTGACTCACATTGACTTCTTATAAAGGGGGAAAGGACAATGTCGTCAGGCATTCCTGTTCAGAGTTACAAGATAGCTCAGCAAAGAGGCATCTGAAATGAGGAAGAAATTCCTCCTGTGGCCACATTGTTTTGTAGTTATTGTATGGTCTTTCTTAATGTTCTTCTTCAGCTGGCAGGCGTGGACTCCTGTGAGCCAGCAGTGCTGGGCTGGGCATGGACCCGTGGGCTGACCCGATCCAGCAAAATCCTTTGCAGTAGTTGCCTGGGAAGCCAGTTCAAGGAAGATACAGGGTGATAAGGAGGAATAGAGTTCTCTTCTTTAGGCCAGTGAGGAACAATTTATTCCTTTTATCGCCTTTTCTTTTTCTATTTTAATTTTAAATGTTTCTATTTGTTTTGGGCTGGAGTCTCCAGATACCGGGCGCTGCTGAAGGAGCAAGTCTTTCAACTGCTGTCCAGCTGGCTTGGGCTCAGAGTCAGAGGAAGCTTTAGAAGAGCAAACTGTCTCCTTTGAAGGGCAGGACATGTTGCCTGCCTGCCCCGGTACTGCCGACCTCCACCTGTGAGACAGGGAATATGCTGTGTGCCTGGGGACAGCTGAGCCTGCTGTGACAGCACGGCAAGGGACCGGCTCAAAGGTCTTTGAGGGTGTTATAACCCTCAAGAAAGCTGCTCCTGGAACAGGCTGATGTGAGCTGTTTGTGATGGATTTTGTGGGATAAGGATTACTTTGGCAACCTAAAATCCTGAGAACTGGGGCCAGGATGTTGTCCTGGCCCTGAATTCTTGACTTCACCAATTTAGTGTTGGCTCTACCAAAGCATAAGTGAACTGTTTGAAATAAGCTGCACTTCAGTGGGTCTCAAAACTAGGCTAGCTTTCAGAGAACAGCATGTTAATTTTGGTACCTGTGAAATGCGGGACCGAGGTTGCCTTTGGCAAATTTGAAAGTGGAATGCACAGGGAAGCTTTTGTAACTCTGGGAACTCTGTTCCCAAAATGACGGTGGTATTTGGGGTCTGCTCAGGCTAAATGTGAACGTGTTCTCCTTGTCATGGGGCATGGGTATAATGGTGCTGCACTTACATCACAAGCTCAGGGTGTCTGGCTTAAAATACTGGATTTGTTTTCCCCTCTGCCATTTTGAGCTTTTGAAGTAGGAGGAGACTGTCAAGAATCCAAAAATCTGCCAGTGCAGAAGAATGTATGTCTGACCCATAGGCTGGGTGAAGTGCTTAATAGTTATGTTAATTTTAGCCTTGATATTTCTTGTAATTTCTGCAGACTATGCCTAATTTCGGTTTAATAATAATAATAATAATAATAATAATAATAATAATAATAGTAAAAAGTGGTTTGTAACAGAAGCTATTTAATGAAGCTAAAGATGCTTAAAAAAATTTTGTGGGAATTCCCCATGCTTCAGTGTCCATTTCGCACACTGCAAGTCCTGCTTGTCTAGGTTCAGTTGCTTGTGTAGCTCCTCAGGTCCAATACTAATGGCTTTGCCCTTCTCCCCACTTCCTCCCTCCTGCATATTAATATAATGGATTGTCATACATTTAAGCAAGAATGGGAAAAGCTGCCCCTTTGCTTAAAAGTAAAAATACTTGTTGCAAGTGACCTCATGAAACCTCCATTTGTGGTTTTATTCCTTATGGTTTCTGCTGGGGCATATGTCTGCAGAGATGGCCCATTGGCAGTAGAGGTCCTTTGTTAGGACAGCCTCTCCAGGAGAGGTGCTCCGGCAGAAGTTAAATCATTTTTGTACCAGAATAACTAATGCACTTCTAAAGTGAATTTGTAATTCTGGAATAAAAACACTTTTATCCCACAGTAAGGTGTCTCCAGAGAGCTATTACATTTTCTTATATAAACAAACTTTTAAACTACTCTGCCACTGATCTCCTGTTTCTTCTGTTGTTTCCTCACTGAACCAACCCCCCTCCCTCAGCATTTTCAAATGTCATCTGAAAACCCTTCCTTTCCCTTGGTTATTGTGTTGTTTCATTTTACAAAGCCTATTGCCCACTGTTAGAGAGCATTCAGTGGTACAGTTTGTAAGACACTTGATACAAAAGCTAGAATTGTGGGTTTTTAAATCCTATTGCCTTCTTTTCTTTCATGACTAAGATTCTGGTAGAGTTACAAGAGCTCAAGGGAATAGGTTAAACAAGCCAATAAATAAAACGTTACAGCATGAGGTGGCTACAGCGTTGCTTTTCAGTGTGTTCTTCCCTTGTGGAAAATGTTGGTGGAGCTACTGCTAACAGGTATTTAGGGTAACATAAGATTAAGCAGCACACTTTTTTTTTTTTTCTTTTCTGCAAAGAATATGAAGCAGAACAGTGCTTCACCCCTGTACAACCCCAGCGATTGTGGGCGAGTGCCGTTTGAGCTCTGCTCACGTGCCCGTCGAAGCCCGTGTGCCCAGGTGGTTTGCAAGAAGTTGCAGATGCTGCAACACTTTCCTAGAGC